GCTACGGAGTCCGTTTTATCCTGTATAAGTTTTCTGTTGCCCCTGCCTATTTTAACGGTGCATGTATGATTTGTAGCTTTTAGCGTTAAAAAATGAAACCGACAGTTTATTCTTTTCTGCGATGCTGTTTTGCTAAATGCTGTATTATGGCAACCCCCACTCCTAATTTTGTTTGTTTTAAGCCTTTTGTGAGGTTGCTGAGAGAGTCAGTCAGTTGCTCGTAGCGGTGGATATTCGCCTATCTGGAAGTGGAACGGCTTGTCCTCAAAAATCTCATGTTCAAGACTATTGCCAGCTCCTGTTGTTTACATTTTCAAAACATTTAACAGTTTATTTTTTTCGGCTCATTTGTTTTGAAGGTTTTTTTGCCCGCTGTTCTTATCATTCATAACACGCACGCGTGCTTTTGATGTAAAAATTTTTAAATTGCTGCTTTCTTGTTTGATGTGTTTCTACTACTCATGTATGTACATAATAAAAGGCTGAACTGAGAACTAATTGCGTACAAGAAGCTTATGGGTATGCATGTATTATTGGGACATAAAATGGGGGGACTGCTGCCGCCAAAATTCTCCCCCCCCCTTGTTTCTCTATTATAAAATGCTTTGAGGGGGGATTTAAACCATTCGTTACAAGATAGAATTGCTGTTGGTTTATTACCATATCAAATAATAATTGAATTTTGATTGCTTTAATTTGAAACTGCAGCTTAAATCTGTGGCTGATTTGAATGCAAGTTTTTTTTATTTCGATGGGAATTTTTTTTTTGCTCTGAGAGAAATTTTAACCTTCTGCTTCTTTGCATGGTTGCTAGGTTAAGTGGTAAGTTTAAAGTCAAACGATAATAATAAAGACGCGTCGAAAAAAAATTTCAGCAAATTTCTTCTTTCGTATTAATTTTTGAAGGCTTTAAGCTGTTGATCTATAATTTGCACTGCAGCAAGTGTGATTTGTTGTAGAAATGCTGATAGATGCGAATTTTTCTAATTTCTGAAGCTATAACGAAGACGTTAGTATTCCTGTCATTCTTACAAAGCATGTAAAGGGCAGTCTGCCTTAAGTAATATTTTTTTTAAGAGAAAATAGATCGTATTAACGTAATGCTTTTGGAAAATTGCATGTGACCAGTTTATTTTGCCAGGGTCGCGCACGACAGATTGTTATACTATTTTCTTCCTCCTTCCTGCATGTCTTCGTGGTGTAATGGTTAGCACACTTGGCGCCTATTCGAGAGGTCCAGGCAGTGCCGTACATAGGGTGAGGTAAGGGGGGACATCCGACTCCGGGCGCAGCATCCAGGGGGCGCCAAATTGATGATACACATTTCAGAATAAAATGTTTTCCATTCTTGAAACACTGAAATTGGCGTAGAATCTTTAGGTGTCCCGGACGCTGAAAACCTTAGCTACGCCTCTGACTTCAGGTTCTAGCCCCGGCGAGGACATTGCTCATTTTTCGTGTTTCCTACTTCAAAAAATCTTAAATGACTCTGCATGCTTTGTTATTTTATCCATTTATTTAGCCAGTGGTCGCCTGTCGTTACATGAGTTTGGTGGTAGCTGCTTTCACCTTTTTCTGATCAAGAAATTTTTACTTTTTTTGAAAGCTTCCCCCCCTACAATAAAGAATTAAAGCATTACAAAATTGAAATTTCGGGAATAAATACTTTTCGGGATACATTCGGATTTTTTTCCTTTTTGTTCCTTCTCACATCTTTTCCCTGAAAGTAACGTACGTAAACGATGACAAGGGAAAGAAGCATTTAAAATCATTGTCTGAATTAAAACAAGTTTGCAAGATAGCGCTGCAGCATTCGTCTGGCTTTATCGCTGTAGGGGAATCGATATGCGAGGTGCAAATCGTGTACCAAAGGTGCAGTCTGAGCGACGCCACTGGAAGGAAACGTCGGTTTGGAGACCACTGTCTATTCCAGTTACTGTCCTTGACCCAAAGCCACTGACGCCACCAAAGCTGTTGCCGACTCTACCTACCTGGCCGCATGTGCTGACGATTCGCTGGAAGTAATTTCCCGCTCAGTTTTGACCGATCGTGCCATCTGCCGGTGAAATGTGGAAGTGCATTTCTGCACGTGCCGACGATCGATGTTTACACTTAAATAAATTTCATATTTAAGAGAATAATTTGTAGCGTTATTATGCGAATAAATCCCCCTCAAATAATAGTTGTTGATAACACAACTAGTAGTGTTCATTCACAAATAATTTATGTTAAGAAAAGTTAGCAAATAAAAATGGTAATTAATTGGAAGAAGTTTTGGATCTCAATTGTAACTTACTTGTGAAAACGGAATTTTGCTCTTATTAAATGAAATTTTTTTTATTGTAAATGGTTATATTGTATGATTAATGAAATTCTGTCCGTGAACAATGGGGGATTGAGTTTCTTCCTTTTTTTTTTTTTTTTCTTTGGGAACGTTTCATGGATTGCTTTATAAGTTAATTTATATGCTTACCTTGAAACTTAAAAACACTATTAAGCAGGAGAAAAAGTCCTATAATTCTTTTATATAAATCTCTTTTGAACAGTGTAAAACGCAGGGAGTATAATGATTCTCCGTGCGTTTACCGTGCTTTATGCTTCGTGGTAAAACGTTAAACAACCTAGAAGTGAAAACAGTAGTTGCTATTTTAGATTGTTTCAATACATTGCTGAGTTAAGTCAGGAATAAATGAGAAAATACGTGGCTTTAACATAACGTCGATGCCATGTTTCCAGAAATTTAGTTTATGCAATGTATGCAATAAGACAACTTTTGGATTTCGCATCAGCAGATGACTGGTTGCAACAATCAAAAAATCATAGAATTTATTCTTTTTAATGATAATGGCACTTCATCCCTTGCAGAGACTTTTTTTTTTTTTTTTTTTTAAGATGGTGATTAAGCCACGAAAATACTCGATAGTGCTTTAAATATGACTCAGGCACGGAAGGTAACCAGTGTTCTGCGATTTTATATATTCGGCCATTGGCGAGCTGCAGTTACATCAGTTAAGAGGTAATTACACCTGCATAGACATATGACATATCTACTATGCAGGTAATTACATCAGTTAAGAGGTAATTGGAGCCCCAGCCCTGCATAGACAATCACACCTGCATAGACCTTTTTGCCAGAATAGCTGCTGTAACATCTATCTTTGTTTGACTAATTTAGAAAATTACGTATGGCAACAGTGGAGGTTTTTTATATTTACATTTTGAGCTTTTTTGTGAGAAAAGGAGAAAAATGGCTTCGAGTTGCATTTCACATGTATTTTGAGAATTAATTAGTATATCTTACGCCATTTATATTTTGAGTGTTGTTGAAACTGAAATTGTCACTTATTAGATTTGTAAATAAACTGTTTTTGTTGTAACGATGTTTCATTGAATAATTGATTACACTCATTTCTGTTACAAATTCTTCTGACATTCGAAGGCAAAGAGACTTTTTTTTTTTTTTTTTGTTTTTTGTGTAGAACCGAATTGTATTTTCACTTAAGAATTTACTCTCCTCTTAAAAAGAACGCTTTCCTGTAATATGTATCAATAAATCAATCTTAATAGCATTTATATTGATTCTGGTGGTGATATGTTAGCTATATGTTCTAGTCTTGAAATTTTAGCTCGAATGTTTGATATAGGGAAGTCGAATGGCCTACGTACCTTCTTTATTGTGGTCTATATAATCCAGTTTTGAACTATGTGAAGAATATTGGCGCCATGCAGTTAATCTTACATACTGCCCTCTCGAGTCTCTTCTTACCGTCATATTTTAAACCGGCATTTTCAAGCAAATTGGCTGACCCACATTTCACCTGTGCCGTTTTCAGATTATGATCAAAGTGTGCGGGAGAGGGGGGGTGAATCGACTTTCTGTTGCTGCCGCCGCCGACTAACCTGTCCCATTCGGCGCCATGCAAATTAAGTGCAATTACTCATTTTGTGTCGTCTGCACGTCATAGTGTAGATATTGCTATATGACCGCCATGATGATATATCTGGCTGGCTGAAGATTAAATGTTATAAACAAAGCAAAGCGGAAGTGAGAAATGTATGCGTTTAAAAACTCAGTATGTGATTTAACTATTTTATTTACTTGGCAAATTCGGTTACGCTTAAAATTTTGCTGATTAATTTTATGTACTTATTTATTTTTTAAATTACTAAGCAGTCGAAGAGAAAATGTAGTTGTTAGGTAAAATATTTCTCCATATGGGTGTATTTTAAGAACAAAAAGGACCAACCCCTCTACTTAATCATAAGTATTACGCCGTAATTTTTATTTTTAATTCTGACTAGATTCTAAAATTTTTCTGCTATTTTTTTCATCGAAGAATCTAAATAAAGTCCGAAGTATATATTTATTCTGAATAATAATTTATTATATTTGTCCTGTAGTAAAATAATTTAAAATAGGTTCATTTAAATAGTAATCAAATTGGTGCTATATAAAATTTGAAAAGCAGGTAATTTAAATAATCGTTAAATAATTTTGTCAGTCAATATCATTGGCAGTCAAAAATTAAATTTATTACACTAGCATCAGATTTTTGTTTTACTGAGAGCTATGTATGGATAGTTTAGTTTCCATTATGCATTCAGATTCGGTGTGCATCACATTGAGTTCTGTGTAATTATATGCAAAGCACAATATCAGTTGCTTGTTTTCTACTTAACAGCTCGTTAAGTCAGTTTCATTTTACATGGTATCTCTGAAGGTAAAAGGAAAAATTTTAACTTCAGTGGAATAATTTTTTAATTATTATGACATGATTTTGCATTTTTAATGCCAGAGTTTTGATTTAATTACACAAGTGGTTATAATTATATCCTAATATTTCATTAAGTTGTTGATCCTTAAAGGATAATATATTATACACAAATTCATAATCTGTTACCTCTTTTTAGATGCCTGTGATATTAACATTTCTTGTCTGTAATAAATACAACTTTTTTTTTTTATTATTTCTGTTTTGGTAATTGTTCTTTTCTTGCAGAATCCAGCGAATCATCTTTGACATGGTGCAATATTGCATACTGGGAATTGTCCAGTCGTGTTGGAAGACTGTTACCAGTTACTCAACCAACAATAAATGTGTTCGCCAATCTACCTCATGGTGATGGCTTGTGCCTTGAAACTTTAACACAGTATCGTAACACAGAGAACTCCTCCGTTCAGCAGACTAGGACTAAAGTAGGACATGGGATTACACTCTTCAGGGAGAATCAAGCTGTTTGGATGTATAATCGTTCTGGTTACTCGGTGTTTGTGAATTCTCCTACTTTGGATCCGCCTAATACAAGGAATTTAACTGTGCATAAAGTACTACCAGGATATTCTATCAAGATCTTTGACTATGAGAGGTCAAAATATAATCAGAGGTGTCGAGACCCATCCATGCTGAAGGATGGGCCCTTTGATCCTCATGCCGTCCGAATCAGTTTTGTTAAAGGCTGGGGCTCCAATTACTCCAGACGTTTTGTTACCTCTTGTCCTTGTTGGTTAGAAGTGATGTTTTTAGTCAATAGGTGACAGAAATAAGATAGTGCCATTTCCAGAAGAACTGCTTCTTCATTGGCTGTTGCTAGTCGAGCTTAGTACCGTTGTGCCATTGGCTGGCCATTGCAAGGCAGCACAAGATTGGTGCCAAGTGAAAAAGATCGTTTTGAAGCTGGATTAGCAATCTTTTGGGTTCCTCAGGATTTCATCCAACTTAATGACTTGTAAGGTGGTGATAGTAAAGCTTCAGTGATAACTTTTTCATACTTTCTCTGCCAAGTTTTCAGTTGCAAAAATTTCCATTTTTGTATATTATCTTAATTTAATTTTGCATTAAAGATCCTGATGCATTAGTTTATGACCACCACCATACATTTCATTTCAACTAGATGATTAGATTGCAAGTATTACTGGTTAACCCACCATATTATGTAATTATGAAATATTTATTTAAATTTAATGCAAAAGCTGCCATATTTCAGCTGTCTATATGTTGTTAAGTTTTTATCTGTACTTGAAAATAGATATAATAGTGATACTTCATGCTTAAATGTCCCACAGAACTGGTATTTATAACATCAAATCACTTTGTTTGATTTTTTGAAAGTTTAAATCTGTCTTCTAGTAATATGTCTATTTTAGAAGCTTTTTTTCAATAACTGGGACCAAAATTCTTTTTAAGCATTGTGGAAAACTTGAGCTCATCTTCAGTTCCTTTTTCCATGTATGATACTAAAGTTAATGAACTATATTATTGATGCGCTTGAAATATCCACAATGCTTTGCATTTAAATGCTTTAATAATCTTAGGAAACCCTTAATTGTGCCATGTTCTCTAAATGCCTTAATTTTTCCCTGTGTGACATTTTATGTTTATTGTATATATATGTACAGTATAAATTTTATTAAAAGTGAATAATCAAAAAGATACTATTGTTAATGAATAAAACCAGTATGGAATTGCAAACTAGACTTCCATGCAAAGAAAAGGTTTTGAATGTAGCCATGTTTTGATAGAATGATTGTTGCATTATATTTTTTGATAGGCCCATTGTCATTTGTTATTGAAGTAATGGTATAGTAATGATAAATCAGTTGTGACTAAATGATATCTAGAATTACTAAATGCTCTCTCTCTCTCTCCCCTCCCCCCGTTTTTTTTTTTTTTTTTTTTTTTTTTTTTTTTTTTTTATAAAATTTTTAACTTGGCCCAATTGTTTTGAGATTTGGTGAAGGAATAAATATATTTGGGTTGATCAACTGATATGATAGCATTCTTAATATCTTTTATGCAAATGCATCAGTTATATCTTGCTGAAATTGGACTTGTATTCTTTATCAAAGATTCTGCACCATTAACATAGTTACAATGCCTGAAATGAGCTTTTGCTGTCACTCATTGAAAAAAAAATCTGAAGGCAAATATGATCATAAAGTGAAGCTTTTAAAGACCTCTGAATAGTTCTGAATCTTAAATTTCCAGTGTTTTTTAATTAACCCCCTTGATTTTTTTCAATAGCTGATGTATATATAGCCATTCATATTTAAGCAGATACAGTTGTATGTTGAATGGTGCAGGTTTTTTTTTTTTTTTTTTTTTTTTTTTTTTTTTTAAGAGCTGAAAGAGTTTGGCAGGGGGAGAAACCAGCATAATTTTCTCTCTTCAGATGTACAGATCTTCTTAAAAATTGAATAAAAACATTGATAATCCAAGGTGGAATTTTTGCATAAAGTTTAAATTGATATGGCCTGTTATGTTTGTACTTAAAAATTATTTAGAAATTTTTAAAAAAGAAAATTTGTAAATAGGCATATTGGTATGTATCAGTCAGCCAGTGTGTTTTAAATTGCTGTTTTGTAATTGAATAACCATTTTTTACCTTTTTTATGAGATAATTTATTACCTGTGCAAAAATTAAGGACATTATAAATGTGTAGGAAGATCAGAGGGTACTTCTTAATCAGTATTTCATAGTCACTCCCTCCAGTCTTTCTTGCTGTCCTTTATTTTTATTGCAGCACCTGTCTCAAATTTAGTATTTTAAAATAGTCATTTAGTTGATCAACCTAGATATATGGCAGAAATATTACTGTACCTACCAATTCATTGTTTGAAAACCTTTGCCTTTGCCTTTCCTGAGTGAGTAGTTACTGAAGAATATTGGTGACTTTTGTAGTTGATTTGAGTAATATGAATTGAAAAAACTTGCTGAAGTATGTCAGTGCTTTTGCCTTAACATCGTACTAGTGTACAAATTTGTGCATAGAAGTTTTAAAGCAATGAAATTCTGCTACAGTCTTTTTCCTCCTGCAAGTACAAAATATGTCATTAAAAGTGCATTTATAATGGTCTTGTGACTCTTTAACATGACTGTTTCTCATTATGCAGAGCTTAGTCAGCTGCTGAATGGTTTGAAAACCTACGTTTGCATATCCCTCAGTTTATTCGATATGTTATTATTAGGTGCAAATAGTCGCTTAGTTTCCCTATTGATTTCGCATGTTAAAGCAATTAGATTTTCCAATATAATCATATTAATTTAAAAATCAAGAGGATTTTTTTTAAAAAATTCATCATGCATCGTCAATCTAGTCTAGTGATAACAGAGCATTTTGTCGAAAATGCGCTGTTAAGAAAGATGTGTATTCATTTATAGTTCACCATTTTGTCCTGCATCAATAACTACAATTGTTTAAAAAGTGTATGTACATGAACTAGTGCTAACAGCGAAATTTCTATCAGGTGTTATTTCTTTATAAAAAATAAAAATAGCTTTTCATTATGCTTGAATTTAGATACTTTTGGATTATCTGCACCCCTCAATTTCGACTAAGCAGAATTCCCTGTTTTGGGCACTGTTTTTTTTTTTTAACACATAGCATTTGTATTTTAGGGTAATTTCGCATAATGGTATCCACTGGCTGTAAAAATGTAAATATAAATTATTTAGGTTCTTTCTTAAAAATTTCTCATTTCTTATGAAATGCTTAAATTGTTTTTATTTATTAATAGAACAGTACATACTTATGAGCTGTAAGGATAACCAAACAAATGTTAAGAAAACTAATTCACAAAGTCACCAATGAGTTAGCTACTTGTGGTGGCAGAGCAGATAATTAGAATGTACCAAAGTTTATTTTGGGCAGTTTAATAAAGTTTTAGGTGTAGTTTAATGAAACTTCCTTAAGCTTCTTCATGTTTTACACTGTCCCTTTTGAATTTTTATTTCTGTAAAATGAAGAATTTAGATTTTGTTAGTGCAAAATTTAAGATTTACTTTTTTGTCTCATGTTTCAAACAAAACTAAGAAAGTGATGATCTATAATTAAATTTGTTAAAAGTATCCTGTGTAGTGAGTACATAGCATCATAAGTGATTAATTTTTATTCTGTAACCAATTTCATCTTTCTTTGTAATGTTATTATTTTCAGTTTGAGAGCAAAATTTCGTAAACTGAGGGATATTTGTAAATTTATCTGTTAAATAATTTTATAAAAAATCACTTTTCTTTCTTGTGCAATGGCAGCTGTTTTGTTCAGGTGGTTTCAGAGCCGTTTTTTTATTTGGTTATTCCATTAAGAAATAAATAAATTTTTTTGTAGTTCACTTAATTTGGTTTTCTTGCTTGGGCATTAATGAAAAGTATTGCACAGGGTGTACCAATTTTATGGCCTAGTGAACATTTGCCTAATAGTACATTTGAACACAACTATTTTATGGTGCTAAAATATTTAATGAATGAATTTTGTCTCTGAGTGCTAGTAGGAGATCTATTTTTAATTATTGAAGCCATGTTGTGTGACTAGTGGGCAGAGCATATAGCACTTAAAAATATTTTCATTTAAAGAAACTTTGTTTAAAATTTGTCAGTTCTTGTCCTTTCTGTGTAATGTGTTACTTGTACTAATATAAAGTATTTATATCTTTCATATTTACACACAATTACTAGTAATTTTCTAAATTAAGTGTCAGCTTGCATATCATTTTTCTCTTTTAAAAGATGTTTCTTCAGGTTGTGGAAAAGTGCATTTTGTGTAAAATGAGAGAATCAAATACAAACTGAGTGAGTTCTGTGTCTTTTGGAAATCATTGTATAGTAAATGATGATTATTGTATTCTGTTACTTGCAGAGAGTAAGGGATAAATACTAAAGACTAAAACCTAAAAACTGTAAAAAAGTACTTTTCCCCCCTAGCACTTTACTTGATTCTCAGTATGTTTGGAATTGGGACTGAAAAAGCAGATTTTGCAATTTTCATATTTAAAAATTTCAGAACCACCTTCTTTCCAATACTTTATTCACTTGTTTAAAAAAAATCCATTGTATACTAGATTTTTAAAATTATTTTTTAATATTAGTTAAATAATTAATCTGCTCCAGTGAGGAAAATTCAAAATCTAATTGCATTATACGATGTAAAAATGATCTTGGTTAAAAGAAGCAAATAATTAATACTTACTGGTCCTTATTCTTTTTTTTTTTTTTTTAATATATAGAACTAATACAGGTAGATGGTAGAAAAACTAATTTAGTTTTTAGAAATGCCTTGTTTCCTCCCTTTTTTTTAATAATTTAATATAAATTTTTGCATTTGTAGGATTAGTTCCATTAATTAACATTACCTCAGAATATTTTAATTCAAGTTTTGTAATTTAACTTAATTTGAATATTACATTTGTAATTGAGCATACTGAGTGCTCGGATAAAATCATTTAATGAATTGTATAATTATCAAATTTTTGCTACTCATTAATATACATAAGTTAGTTGAGGTCAATAAGAATCATCTACTATGCAGTAAAATGTGATTTTATATACTTCCCTGTATTTAACTCGCTATAGCTCAAAAATTGTCTTGCTGGGATGATAGCCCAGTGTGCCTATAAAATGCTGTATTGCTTGCCTTAGTCCAACTGCCACATTGTTATGCATTTATAGAATAAAAGCTGTTTTTGTGAATCCCAGGTGTAGCAAAAAAGTTATTTTTTTATAAAATGAATGTGTGAATGTAAAAATTTGTGTTCTTGAAAGCTTGATGTATGTATGCTCTGGCCACTAAACGAAAATGAATACCCATTGTAAAATAGTGCCTAGATGCTAAACAAATGACAGTAATCATGGTATTCTTTTGTACAGTGTATATAGTCATTGAAGCTATGCTGTAGGCATAATTTAGTAGTCTTGTACACAGTTGTACAGTTTTGACGAAAATAACATTGTACAAAGGGGCTCTGCCTCGTAACGTTTCTATATAAAAAATTATTAAGGAAATCTTTTTGTTATCTTTATTCCAATCAACCCTATTTACAGCTCAGCAATGCTTTTACAAGTTCTTTAACATATTTTAATGAAACTCATTTTTATTATTTAGAACAAATTTCAGTCATCTGAAAACACTACAGCTTTTTGTATACATATTTTTAAATACAGTATTACTCTACAGTGCTATAATTTTTATACTTTTAATATACATTTATTTACACATTTTATATTTAAATCCCACACGTTGGCGTTTGAAATGTATGTGATGCTTCCTTGTTAAGGAGATCATAATTATAAATTATAGATTTCATAATTAAATATTGGCTGTAGTTTTGAAAGTTAATTGATTACATACACTATAGCAGGCAAAAATGAGAAGTTGCAAGTGCATAAGGGTCTATATTATGAGCTATTTTTAACATACATGAACTAAAATTTGCTCCTACTATTTTTCATAAGCACTTAACAATACTGAGAGGTAAAAATTATAACTACTAGAATAGAATCTATTTTAATTCATATTTTCAAAAAAAAAAGTTTATCACATACTGTAACCAGGCCAAAGTACTTTGCATTCTAAATAATTGAACTCTCTGATAATTAAACTTAGAAGTAAGATACAGGTAAAATATATTGATTAAAAATTAATAATAAATGGTAGAATTACTAAATAAAGGAGCATTTATAAAAATAACTAACTAATTAGCAAAGAAGAAATTGACTATAAATGTTATTCATATTATCATATAACAAATATACTGGTATAGTTCAATCGTCTGAAGCGCAACCCTGGTTGGCATTCTGCCAAAACACGTAGACTCGTCTAAAAGGGGCGGTATTACTTGCTGCGACGTGAAGGGTCTTCTCTTCTCCGGAAAGAGCTATGCTGGAGGGTAAGAAAGTCCGCATCCTTCCACCCTATTTTAAGAATAATTCGGTCTGAATGGCGCATGCATGTTTACGCTCACGGTCGCGGATGAGGCGGTCGAACTATATCATATAACATATATACTTTTTTACAGATGACTGTTTCTTTGTACTTGGGTTTCAAGGTATTTGGATTGATGTTTTTGATAAAAACAGTCAGTTCTCAAGAACTTAGTCTCCCTTTTATGTATTTATGACTTGTTGAGTTTTGTCCCGGAAGCTCGTTCACAAATGTATATACTGCCAAAAAGAATTATCCAAATTAACGCATTTTTACCCCCACCCCCGGAAAAAATAATACTTAAAAGCTGCCAGTTATCTCGGTTTATTTGTCACAACTCCCGATAGGTCACCTAATATCGCTAGTTTTAATTTTTAGCCTTTACCGAGAAAAAAAAAATTTTTTAGCAACAAATGAGATTTATTGAATTAGTGAAACTTTAATTGTATAGATTTATTTCACCCCTATTGATTTTCAGCGTAAGTTTTCTTATTGAGTGTTATTTGATATAAATTTAATTTCGATATCTGTAGAGTTTTATATGGGGATTCAATCAGTTTGAAGGGGGTATTAATACATTTTTAGAACGATTTCAGGGCCATTTAATTAATGTTTAAGATGTAAAGAGTAACTTTTAAATGTTTGATTTGGTAGCCTCCCCCCCCCCCGAACTTTAAATGTCTCCTTTGTGATTTCAATGATAGGCGGACTTTTCGTAAAATTTCCAGGGTTTCTTGTTTTTCATTTCTCTTCCACTACTTCCAAAGTACACCTATCCCTCGATTTACATGGTTTAAAAATTAATGGATTTAAAAAACTTGGAAAAATGTATATTCGGCTGCATATACGCAAACACATATATTTGAAGTCATTTTTTAATCTCGTTCCTTTGGTAACACTGGTGGGCAACAATAAGGATGGGGATTCCCATAATATGCATATCACAACAGTAAAGCTATTTTGTTCATGTGAACTAGTGCAGTATCAGTATTTTAAGCAGCAAAGCTTACATCATTTTTTATCTACCTATTTGAATGATTACTGGTAAGTTTTCAACATTTACATATTTTGTGGGATAGTTATAATTTACGTAAATTTTTTAAGGTATTAAGTCAAAAGATTTGAAAAAAAAAATTTAATTCTTTAGAAACAAAAATTAAAACATTAGATCGTCTACGTAGTAGAGAAAGAGTAACAGATGTTGCTAAATTTTATTCCATGAAATGACACCACAATAAGGACAATTAGAAAAAGTGTAGCAGCTGGAGCTTGCAGCAGTAAGGGCACAATTTCATATGTAAGAGGTGATACAATGGAAAATACGGAAAAGGCATTAATGGTTATGAATCGAACACCAAAATCAAAAACGGATTCCGATTGATACTAATGCTATTACAAATAAGAATTTATAAAGCACTTGAGAATCAGTCACCGTCGACTTCGTCAGATTAAAAAAAAAGGTATTTTTTCCCGCTAAGTCATGGCTGGTTTGAAAGATTTAAACAAAAGGCCTTCTTTACATAGTCTTAAGATTGAAAGGAGAAAGTGCATCTGCTGATTCGGATGCAGCATAACAATATCCAGCAAAATTTGCTGAAATCATTGCCGCCAATTCCTAGACTTTAGATCAGATCTTCAGTGCTGACGAGTACAGGTTGTTCTGGAAAAAAAATGCCTGAAAGAACCTATTTAGCTAAAGCTTGCAAATCAGCTAGTGGTCATAAGGTAGCGAAAAGGCGTATAACAATTCTTTTCTGTTGCAACGCTTTAGGTGATTATGTTGTTAGGTTATTTTCTTCCTTCACGTTCGTACGGGGTTCGTAGATTTGGAGTGAATAACGACGACACTTGATTGAAGTATCGAAACACACTTTATTTGCCAATATTAATCAGATAGCTCAAAAATCACTTTTACAGTCGTCGAACTGTTATAAACACGCTGACACGTTCAGCGACATAGCCTTCACACAGTCAGGCAATAACGGTGAAGACAGCTTCACTGCAAAGCACCCGAGTACAGCTCCCAACTCTGCTTGGTCGTTCTCAGAACTCCACGTACTCTCGAGGCTCTTCACGCGATGCACTCGACGATACACAAGAGTATAGCTCTCGACTCAGCACAGTCTAAGACAAAACTCGACGATGCACTAAAAGACTCTCTCGATGCACTCGACGACCAACTCGGCGCTAGACCTCGAGACACTCGCTAAATGACTGACTATCAGTCTCTAGACGAGGCACACACACTGACTGCGGAACAGCAGTGTTTATATAGCTTTTGGCTTGTGTTCGAGAACATTTTGACCTAAACCGTTAAGATTTCGTTCCAGAAGGTACTCCATCCGTCCATGGTATGTCGCCAAATGGACGATTTCTCGCCAAATGTGGCAACCCTGCTTTCCCCTGCTATTTTATGGCAACCATAAAACTGCTTTGCGGGGAAGCCATCTTACCGCGCCTGTACATTTCGTAACAATATAATGGTGTATTTAATTATGGCAAAGCACACGAGGGCTATCTGCCTAAAGGGAGGGATGCCTTTCGTGGAGGACTTTCTAAGGGAAACTGGCTCGTATACACGTTACACATGGGGAAAACCACGAAAACGCCCATGCAGCCAGCCCGTTCGCGGGATTCGAACCTCAGACCGAACTACCAGTGTTCAGCGTCTTTACCGCTCGGCCGCTGGTGGGCCGTAACAATATAATGAAAACATTGGTTATTAACAAATCAAAAACACCATACTCATTTAAAGGAATAAACAGAAATAACTTTTCCGTTTAATTGGATGATTAATAAGAAAGCATGGGTCACTGCCATAGCTTTCAACGAATGGTTTCATAACATGTTTGTTCCAGATGTTAAAAATTATTTAAGTAAAAAGGGATTTCCTTTTAAAGGCTCTTCTGTTAACTGAGAATCCACCTGATCATCTTCAAGATTTACAACACGAAAATGTTATCTTTTTACCAAATACTACAACTTCCTTATTACAGCCGTTAGATCAAGGAATAATTTCGACTTTTAAGGCACTGTATATCAAACAAACCTTCGGGTATATTTTAGAACAAATGGAGAATGATGAATCTCTTACTCTTATAAGTGCTTGGAAGAAATTTAAATCTTAGATTGTATTAAGCATGTTGGACTGTCATATACTCAGATTAAACAATTATCGCTCAAAGTATGCTGGATGGCAATATGGCCGGATGCTGCTAAAGATGAGAATGATAGATTATCATTAGAGCATGAATATTCTATGATCACTAAATTGACCGAGACTATAGGAGGAGAAGGTTTTGAGGATTTAGCTCAGGCAAATATTGAAGAAGTAATGGCTGATGAAGAATTAAATGAGGATGAGTTAGTTAACATGATTCATGATACAAATAAACATGATGAAGAGCAATCTGAACCAGTTGCATTCACAGCAAGAGTCATCAGCGCAGGACTTTGGAAATTCGAATTGGGAAGAAAATTAGGTAATCATTTTTTTCACAATATTAGACGAATGTTGAACGAGCTTTCCGATTCCATCGGGAACTTAGTAAGTGCCTAAATCAATATGAGGAGGTTTACAAAGATTTAGGGAAAAAAACCCTAGGCAATTGTTAATTACGGATTTCGCTACAAAGTCTTGTCGATCTTAGGTCTTCCTTAATTCCCCAACTATTGAAGCCGAATTTTATCAGTTACGCTCAGGTGATGAAATTGACATACAAATCAAGAAGAAAAGACTAATAGTTCATGAAAGTGATGACAGTGATTATAATTTTTTGAATGATCTGATATTTTCCTAATGTAAAATAAATTAAATATGTACTTCTATTACCTACATGCATTATTTTATGAACGAAGTATAACTTTATCTACTTTTGTTTTATGTAAATAAATAACTAAATTATGCTAATTTAATGTGTTTTTCGTTTTACACGTTAGCAAACTGTTTTGTTACACGGTTTTGTCCGGAACCTATCTTATCGGTTAAGGCTTGTATGCCTTTAGTAAATCTGCAGAAAGTATAAATAAAGAGCAAAACTAATTGTCATTTAAACAAAACTTAAAAATTGGGAGGTCTTAC